TTGGCCCAGCTTGGAGGCCTATTCCAAAATTACAGACCAGACCCAACTTAGAGGCACAGTGCAAAAATATAGACTAGGCCCAAAATTCCAAACTAGACCCCACCTTACACATATGGGCCAAGCCCACCATAGGATGGAGGAAGATAGGTCAGCTTAGTTGCGTCATCCTGAGAGAGTTAGGTCAGTCGTGCTATCATTAAAGACTCAATCCATAACTAACATATGAAGAGATCTCTTTGGGATGTGCACGTCACCACCTCCATGGAGTTGTCTCCGCTATTACGAGAAAGGCGTCATCTCCACCGAATTATCTCAACTGATATGAGAAAAGCGTCTCAATCTATTTGTAAGCCCCATCTACATAATGGGGGAATCTCTTACATATCACTCACATCTGAGTATTCTACACTCATAGAGAAATAAAACACTCAAACCATCCTAACCCTTCACAGTGGAGCAGATCACCTTGATCGAACCACTTAAATTGTGTTTTGCTTGTGTTGACTCTCATCATTTATTACTGCATTTAATACTTGATAGGTAATGCATAAACATGTTTTGTGCATCATCACATAATTTAGACACTTCCGATATTTAAGATAACATTTTCTTTTTAACATGAAATATAGTTAATATTATAGTTTTTTGACTCGTTTTCATGCAATTTTTTTTGACATCTATTTATTTATTTGAAAACTTGAAACATAAACTTCGATATTAACTTTATAATTAATGTTATTAGGGATTAATTTCATATCGGCCATTACATTAATGGTATCTTGTGAGAAAAAGTAGTATTTGATGAGTAATTTCCTTTTTATATTTTAGAAATGTTGATTCCCAAATACGTGTCCACCAATATTGCTTGGTATAACATGTATCATCATCCATTTAGTTTTGACATCGCGATATGCCATCTAATTAGGGATAATTCATGTTTGAAGTTACAGTGTAATGTATATATTTTGAAAGAGATGTTGGTGGCCGTTAAATGAGTGTATTTAAGACCATCGTATGAACTTATTAAAATTTATCCTATTTTATATTATAAATTATAAATTACTAGCATTGCTTTGAGGAAGGTCGGACCTCTTTATATGATAATCGTTTACATTGACCCCTAACTACCATTGGAATGTTACATTGTCCCATTTACAATTCATTCTTCCACATTATACGTTTAATTACTTAAACTCACATTATCCCATGGTCAATTCTTTGTTTTATTTTAAACAAAAATGTCCTCGTATTGTTGAATTTTAGGGCAAAGTAAAACCAAGTAATATAGTTCAAGAGGGTCATGTCGTATTAGGGCGGAGCCAGAAATCCTTATGAAATGGACAAAATATTAACATAAATTTTTTGAATTTCAAGTTTGAAAAATGTATGAAAATTTAATATGAAGTTACTAAATGAAACATAAAATCGAGAACATTTAACCTTAACAAATATAGACAAAAAGTACAAAATATTTTTTATTTTTTATAATTCAACCCAATCATATTAAAGTAGAATACAATACTCTATCAAATCCCAAAATTATATATACTTAATTAGTTCTTCAAATTATTCTAAAGATTATCTGAAGTCATCTTTCAACTTATTATTGAAGAATTGGTTCCTTGGAAAAGAGAAAAATAAAAAATAAAATTGGGCTAGGACATTATATCATTTGCATCTAATTGTGTAACCGGATTACATGTCGTTAAATTATCCCTTCAAAAAAATAAAGGTCAATTACGCAACATTTTTTAAAAAATTGGGACAACATATCAAATATAATCGTTGTCTATTGATCAATATATAATTTATAACTTTCACTCCTGCTGTACTTAATCAGAAAAAAATCATTTAACTAGTTTAGGGGATAGTGGACCACTAATTAATCAAAAATTAATCCATTGTACAATTTTTTTGAAAAATAAGGGGGGACAATATATCAATTTATCTGTGCATTGGCCATCAGAAGAAGCAACCTAAGCAAGGTGTAGCGACGTCCAAGGATAGCATCACTTATATCCGGCTTAAATGTACNGTACAATTTTTTTGAAAAATAAGGGGGGACAATATATCAATTTATCTGTGTATTGGCCATCAGAAGAAGCAACCTAAGCAAGGTGTAGCGACGTCCAAGGATAGCATCACTTATATCCGGCTTAAATGTACTTAACTGAGCCTAGGTTGAGGTTCCACCTCAACCCAAACACTCCTTTGGGGTTTAGCCATTTTCGCAACCAACACTCTCAAAACCCTACACTCAGATCACAGAAAACCTCTGCTGCAATTTTAATCTTACGAAGTGTAGGTCTCTGCCCATTGTCTCTCTCATCAAATGGCCTTCGCCGCCACATCCACCGCCGCTAGATCTGTTTCCCTATCAACCTCCGCCCGAAACGCCGCCCGGCTCGCCTCCGAGGCCAAAGCCGGTCGTTCTCCCTTTCGCATGAAAACCAGACACCCACTCTCATCTCGAATCCTCAGGTAACTCTACTTATACGTTCATATGTACATACATATGCATTTATGCGAATATATGTAACCGTGGTGGTGTTGTTCTGGAAGGTGTCCAGTTGAAATGAGTGCGTGCGTGGAAACGATGCAACCGTACCACACTGCAACTGCTTCGGCGTTGATGACTTCCATGCTCACCATCTCTCGCCGTGGTTACGGTTGCCTTCCCGAAGGTACTTTGTTGACGAAATTGTTTTAGTTGTGAAATTTGATTAATTATGATTCAAATTGCTGGCTGTTTGTTGCTTGATTGGATTGATTACCTAGTTGATTATTTGTAATTGATAATCTGAGTAGCTATGATTTGTAGGTATGCTTGGAGCTGTAAGTGTAGTATGAGCATTTTATGTCTTTGTTTTGGTTATTGGTAATTGATTTTAAATGGCCAGTATTATGCTCATTTATGTGTAAATACTGAACTGGTATTCCTACGATTTTTTAAGGATAAGTCTGAGTGCAAGCGGGGGTGTATTTAGGGGGTGCTTGGAACGAGGTCATCTATTTAAAACAAAAACACATTGCATAGAAATAGAGATAACTAAAAGTGGAAACTGGGAGAGGAATATGATATAAAGGAAGATCTTTGTCAAGTAGATTGAAGAGGGTGGGGTCCATTCAAGGATCAAAGTATCGGACGAGTTGTATCCGTCTCGGCCGTGTCGTATCACCTTCGATTTGATAACGATACACGATATGCAAATATAATGTGATAGAGCTAAATCGGTATTGACTCGGTTACAGCTCAACCATATCAGACCAACTCGGCCCAAATCGAACCAACTCGGCTAAGTCAACACCGAATCAAGCTACCTCTGCAACTTCTCATACAGCCATCACCAGCCAAAAAAAAAAAAAAAAAAGAATTTGAAGAAAATAAGAGATCCAAGAAAATAAGAAATTATATGTAACCCTAAATCACACCCATTTTTCTAATACTTCATTGGGAAGAAGAATTGAAAAGATTTTAAGAAAACTTGAAAGCTGTGAAGTGGCGAGTCCTTTTTTTCCTTCTCCTTCTTCCTCTTCTTTTCTTTGACGAAACAATTGCATAGCCTATAGCTATAACAAACAACTTTTTTCTTCGATTGAAATTGTCCCAGATTCTCTATCTCTTCTCTCGTCTTCTCTCTCTGTCTTGTCGTCTCTTGACTCTCATTGTCTGTGTCTCATCGTCTCTTGTTGGTTTTTTGTATCTTGTCGTCTCTCAGTTTCTTGCTTTGTCTCTCGTTTTTCTCTCTGCCCTACTCTTAAATGGCATATTCTAGAATCCTATCATAAATACCACATGACAAAAAAAATAATCATAAATACCTCATGTTTATTACTGTATTATTTTTCTATTATAATGATTAATTATTTGGTTATATTTTTAAAATTTTGAACCTTTAAATTTAGATATTGAAATTACATTATATTTATTTTTAAAATTTTAATTCATACACAATATTTATTATTTGTTATTTTGAATTCAAAAAATCTTTAAAATTAGGTCTAGTATGTTCTAAATAATTATAGTAACACATTTATTGTTTAACGATTTTCAATAGCATCCTTTCTTTTTTACCATATTTAATGTGTTAGAAGATGCATTTTAAACATAAGATACATGGATGTTGTTATTTTTTTTTTAAGAATTTTTTTGGAATTTTTTGGACCTTCTATATAGAATTTTATGCATATCAGCCGATACCGTACTGCAACGTCGCAACCGATGTGTATTAGTGCCCTCTGAGTCGATGGTCGATACCGCGACCTCGAACCATGGTCATCCATTGGCCAATGTTCCTTGCCCTTGTGAAGGAAACTTGATTCCAATTAAGAGCGAAAATAAGTAGAGATTTTTTTTTTTTTTTTTTTTAAATAAGGAGGAATTGAATTAGTATCCATTTTGTGGACTCGAGCAAGGATATTGAGTAGACAGTTAATGTATCAAACTGAACTCTATCTTTCGTAGCATGCATTTCCATTCGTGTGGCAACTAATTCGGTAAGCTACATGTTTGGTACATGGAGGATTGCCTTTAGTCTCCCAAATTGACTTACTTCCTAGCCCCAGTGGGAGTGGTGACCAGCAATATAGGTGCTTGGGCAACCTGCCTTATATATTGATGGCTAGTTCAAGATCTTTGCAGTTTTAAACATTAGTTATGTTTGGGATTTGACAAAGTGGTGAGGTATTGACTTTGTTGCTTAGTATGTTTTTTTAGCTGCTCTTTGTTTTTTGTCTTGCTTTATTAATGAATATTTCTGCATAACCTTTGAATTTTTTACCCGAATCCTGCCATTTTATATTCTAATGAAAACATAAGGATTTAGCATATTTTTTAAATCATCTGGGGTAGCTTGCTTTGGTTTTGGTCCATTCATGTAACATACTTGTATGTTCCTGGAAGATGGGTGTCTGAGATTCGATCCTTATGGACTAACTGGAAAAGTACAATATAGAAATCCTGCATGGGGCAATCCAAAAATAAGTACCAGAATCCTACTCCCTTTTCAAAAGTCTTGATAAGTTTGACCATGGGTTGCTTGTTTTTGTGATCCTTTCTTTCGGATCTAATTGGAGAAGATGATAATGTTTTCTGCTATCTTGCTAAAGAAAGGCAGTTTTGGTTGAAGCATACCAGCTGGATACATGTTCTCTGGATTCTGTAACGGAACATCTTTTGATCATTCAATCTCATGCAATGTCTTCTTTTCCTAGTTCACCGAACTGGTTTTGTTATTGTTGCTTTTATTCCGTGTGGTTTTGTATTTTCCTTAAATTCAACAAGTAGTTTCTCTCGAATAGGTTGCCTAATCAGTGGGTTTTAATTCTTGATTTAGGTATCTAGCAAATCTTTGTAGGGCCTCCTTGATGTCCTTTTCCTCCTTTCAAATTTCTGGTAAGTTTTGCTGGACGTAGTTCTAAAGCCAATGCTTGAAGGCTTCCTATCATACATGGAAGCTTTAACTATGTCAGAAATTAGAGATGTTAGGTCTGGACAAGTTAAACAGCAACTTTGTAACATTTCTCGTCCCTTGTCATAATGGAGATGTTAGGTCTTAAACAGTATCTATAGCATGTAGTAATGTCTGACATTTAGTGTTGTCTTTTATTTTCCTCACATGCCTATTTCGTTGTTTTCCGTTGTTTTCACAAAGGAGTGGATGCTTCACTTTTCCTGTTGTAGGCCTTGCCAAGACTAGATGAAGATGGAGAAGCAAAGATGGAGTGACTTGGATTTGTTTGTGATTCAAAGCTTTCAAATTAGTAAAATAGATTAGGCTGGATGGATATATATAAGATTAATGGTAAAACTTGATTTTATGCTGTGTGAATTGACAGCTTTAATAATGCCTTTTCTGCAAGAAGTTGTTAAAGATCCATTAATCTATTTGAGGCAGTGTGTGCATCTCATGGCTTTTGGGTTTTACTAAAATTGTTCATCGTATTTTGTGTTTGTCTAAACAAACATGCGTGGCATCATGTCATATTTTTCTCATTTGGATGTAGTTGGAACATGATTTTGAACTACTAGTTGCGATTGGCGCATTCTTGACACATTTTGAAGTAGACTGGCCATTAGGGAAGGAGTGGCATCATCTGTCATATTTTTCCATTTGGCTATAGTGGGTACAGAATTTTGAAGTACACACATCATTAATGAAACTAACTGATTTTTTGCATTCATTCAGCTTGCAATGATGATGTGTGATGAATATTCTGAGGTTTGAAGCAAAATTTTATTTCTGAAATTCTACATTCTAAGACCACAATATCTGCTATATGTAGCCAAGCTAACATCGAGTGCAGACTGGACTATTGATTTTTCAGTTACGATTCTATTGTTGTTAAAGTATTTGTAGTTGATGGTAATAAGATCATCAAAACAATGCTAATATCTTGTATATCAATCAGCTTGCATTGATGACGTATGATGAATGTCCAAGGGTGTTCAAGCGAGTTTTCGTTCACAACCCAATGCTTTTCTGGAGGTGTGAGGCACACAGCAGATATGAGATGCCTCCTTTTCGACCTTATGATCGTACTCGTTTGAAAGTTCTTGAAAGTGTATCAAAGATCTTATACACTTGAGGATTGTCTCGGATTGAATCCTTTTATTTCTCTGCCTAAAAGATCAGAGAATTATAAAACCTTTTTCACGAAAATTTATTTGCATAAATAGAGAAATATACTCAAGGTTGCTTTATTATGGTGACTAGCATGACATTTTAATGCTTTTCCATTGTAAATTTATGTTGCAGAATTGATGATATCGTCAAGTCTCATGCTACTTTGGGGTTTGTGTCATATTCGAGTTGTGTTATTTTGAATTTGTACCATGTTTGTGTTGTGTTCATGTAATACAAGAATTTTTNATCGTCAAGTCTCATGCTACTTTGGGGTTTGTGTCATATTCGAGTTGTGTTATTTTGGATTTGTACCATGTTTGTGTTGTGTTCATGTAATACAAGAATTTGCAATCACATGACTTAAAGTTATTTTTACATAAAATTCAAATTTACCATAAATAGTTCTTTATAACGAAAAAAATCATTTAACTATAAGCAATTCATACAATACTTGATTAAAAAATTTAAAAAATATATTTTAATTTTACAAAACCATTTAAACATTTTGTCATGTTAAAAATGGTATGAACTCAAATCCTAGTCTTTAGTTGGCCTGTATCATATTCAGATTCGTGGAGTGTTGAAATATTATGATGACAATTTCTACCCATACATATGAGAGAAGACAATTGTATTTATGATATTTCAGGTTATATAACAGGAATGNATCATATTCAGATTCGTGGAGTGTTGAAATATTATGATGACAATTTCTACCCATACACATGAGAGAAGACAATTGTATTTATGATATTTCAGGTTATATAACAGGAATGACGAGATGAGTTATTTGATTACTATCAATTTCATCATAACCACAGGAATAAAGTTGTTCTAGATCAAGCTGAGATGGTAGAACCATGGATCAGAATTGCCTGTACATTTTCAGCACAAAAAAGTCTGAAGAAAAACACTCAACGTTACATTGATTAGTTCAACACATTTCCACGGGTCATTTCAGATTACCAGTGTGAAGGCTTGCAAGCACCGAGGAGATGAACTTCATCCTTCCAGCATAGTATTCTGTGTTCACTAGGCAGGGGTCAATTCCTTCAAATTCAAGGNGGGTCATTTCAGATTACCAGTGTGAAGGCTTGCAAGCACCGAGGAGATGAACTTCATTCTTCCAGCATAGTATTCTGTGTTCACTAGGCAGGGGTCAATTCCTTCAAATTCAAGATTAGTTCGAAAAATAGACAGATTAAACCAATGCTAGGATGATCAGCAAAACATAAAGCACAAAATAGGTCTTACCGTATAGAAGTACTAACTCTAATGAACAATGAAGGAACATTAATATCACATCCAGTATTATAGATAAGGTATGGCAATATAAGATTCAATTGGGTACCTCTTCCTCTCTGGTTAAAGGAAATTATGAAAAACATGAGCTTTTTGAGATAGACCAGATTCCAGAACAAATTTACAGTCTCCTCTTCTAAATTCATGCAAAGACATAGGAATCCTGGGACTAATCATNGGTCTTACCGTATAGAAGTACTAACTCTAATGAACAATGAAGGAACATTAATATCACATCCAGTATTATAGATAAGGTATGGCAATATAAGATTCAATTGGGTACCTCTTCCTCTCTGGTTAAAGGAAATTATGAAAAACATGAGCTTTTTGAGATAGACCAGATTCCAGAACAAATTTGCAGTCTCCTCTTCTAAATTCATGCAAAGACATAGCAATCCTGGGACTAATCAACCTTTCAACTTCACAGACATTTTAATAACTTCCAAAAATGAGAGGGTAAATAATAAGAAGGAATAAAAGGAAACAATTGAAAATGTAAAATAAAGACGAGATATTTGCTATTAACACCACATTTAGTTCACATCTCTAGCCCCAAAAGAGGATAAACCCACAACCAGAATCAGAACTCTATTTGATGCCAATCATATCCACAGGACTCTTACATCTCTTGCTAGTGATGGAAGTAATAGTTAAGGGGAAATATCACTACATATTGTAATTTGTCAACCAATTTCGTGAAAGTGCAGTCGTAGCAGTTGATCGTTAAAACAAGAATCAAGCTTTCAATAACTTCAAACTATTCACTTCTGATAAATCCCTCTTATTCTTCAACAACATTGACCAACTCGTACTCCACTAGAGAGAGATTGTTATCTTCTTTAACTACAAATTTAGCAGGTTCAGTGACCTCAACACGTCCCCATTTGTCAACCGCTAGCCTCATGGACCCCTTGAACATGTCAATCTTTGCATTGCGCAGAATCACAGTGGTGTTTGGCTTCATAGCATCAACTGCACAGAGATGACACCATCATCAACCCAACTTAATAAGATTACACAAGGCTACATAACAAACTACATACCCATGTACATACATCTTGTCCTAAAAATCCCACTCTAACCAGGAAACCAGGAACCAAATAACATCATCACATAAGCACTTCCAAATTACTGTACCATATTAGTCTTAGAAAAGGGAGTGTTCTTGACAGACTCAGACTAAAATGGGTGAGGCTCCCATAAGATGAAAGCATCCTAAATCAGACTAAGGGCACGTAGGAACATGTAAGTGTTTCACAAGCCCACATCTAACAGATAGGGCGTTTATCACCGACACTCAGATAAACATCCTTATGAGCAGGGGAATTTACAAACAAGAAACTACCTCATTAGAATCAACGATTACCCCATTGAGGCCATAATCGTATGTAAAGCAAATATCCATAAAATATAACAATGCAGCACATATTGCATTACAGTAAGATAACGAGTACCTTAAAAACTGATTTCCCAAGTTAAAAACAATGACAAGAGGATGATTGTAGGAAACAATGACAAGAGGATGATAGTAGGAAGGTTATATGGAAAATTATGGTAGATTATAGTTGATGGGTGTGAAATAAATCATCATGTTCTTCATTGTCTGTTGGTATAGAAGAAGATTTTTTAGTAAAGACCAACACGCATTACCTAAATTTATTGAGCCAAAGGGACGAAATGTTAAACTTCCAGAAGCAGCAATACAAGATATTACAAGTTCAAAATNTTGAAAAAAAAATTCAAATCAACTTAAAAGTTAATTGTCAATTTTTCTGGCCAATAAGTAATATATAATTAAAAAAATATTTATTAATAATTTCAAAGATATTGTTCAACTGTAGAGAAAAAAAAATACCATAAGCATTGTGAAAACAAAACAATGTTAATGCCGCAACAGTAAAACAAAGTTATAGCTGAAAAATATATATGAGAATAGAATACTACTCTATCAAACAGTGTACATTTGCAATTGATGATCCTGGAAATTTCATCAATTAAAAAGTCAACATTATTTTAAGCCAAAGAAAAAGAGTAAGATTCCAAAGTGCACCACTTACCAAATATTAAGAAATGAACCAATTCATGGCTAAGAAAATCAGCAAGTAACTACATTCATCGATGTTCAATTCCCCATTCAAAGTAGTCATACACTAAATGCACCTATTTGACATTCATGTTTCATTTCAATCCTAAAGTTGAATAATTATTCTAAAGCAAGCAAAATTTATATCATTCATAAAAGCTGAAAATGCATCCTAAACTAAAAGCTACAAATATATCTTAGAGTTGACTTTTATATATCCTATGAGGTCACCTCTGATATGTCATTGCTAGCTGGTTAAAAACGAAGTTGGGGAGGAAGAGATCACTAACTGGTCATTGGTCTGGTCATAATTTTCAATAAATAGAGATAAGTAAATAATTGTAATGCCAATACATTCTTGAAAGAGACAATAAAGTACAATAAGAGTGAATATTTAGTAAGTAAAAATGCAAAAATAGCATAAACACCATTGTAAAGGCTTGCAAAACTTCATGAAAAGATAGTCATTGAGACTTGCAAAACTTCTGGATCACACCATTGTGAAGACCTGCAAGGATCAAAGATAGTCATTGAGACATTTCATTAAACACTTGTTATGCTAACAATTATACTAAACTAAAGCAATTGGATATAATGATCTAGCCCCTTCATTTGGTTTCGTTGATCATAATTTAACCTTGGAAAACAAAAATTGAAAACAAACAAAGAGAGAAAGAAGATCAAATATAGAGAGGGAAAAACTTGAATACATAAAGAGAAAGATAGAAGTGAGATTGAGATGAATTTCATGACAGAGATTTTGGGGATGAGTTTGGAAGACAGAGATAGAGACGTGAGATATTTGAGAGAGAGAGGCGTGAGAGAGATTGGGAAAGAGAGACATGAGTCAGGAAATGTTGTTGGGCGGAAAAACAAAATTCAGTACTCACAGTAGTCTGTCGAATCAATATTTATGAGATGATCTGAACCGTCATTTATGTTGGGATTACATTATCCTTTGGATATGTTTATGTTTTATCTCAAAACGAACTGAACTTCTCTTTGTCTCCAAAATTCAAACTTAACTTTACTTTATTATTATATATAAATTAATTTTTTTAAATTTTGTTTGTTTGTTTGCATTTTTGACCTTATTATGTTGAATGATTTTATTTTGCTTAAAAATAATTTTATTAGATATAAATAAATCATCCTATTTATCAAAAAAATAATAAACTAAACTCTGTAAAGTGTAGTTGTTCTCCGATAATAATGATGGTACGATGCCAAAAAAATTTCTTCGATATTGTAGACTAGGTATGTCAGTTGTATCGAGTGAGGCAGATTCATGTCGTGTCTTCATAAGTTCGTGTAAAAAAAATATTTCACTAATATCTGATTCATTTATTAATTCGTGTGTAACAAATTATGTCATATCTGATTGGTGTCATTTATGAATTGTGTATAAACGATATATAAATAAGTCGTGTCATGTATTTCTTTTGATTAAATTCATTTAAACTCGATTCATTTATTAATTATTAATCGTGTTGTGTTGGGTCTACTCGTTTACGAAATTGGTAACTTAAGAAAACTCAGACCCCATTTGTAATCGTTTTTGTTTTGACTTTTGGTGAAAATAAGAAAAAAAAACTCGTTTAGTAACCATTTTTATTTTTTTTTCCTTGTAATCGTTTTGAAAATGAGGGGCAATTTCAAAAAACGAAAAAAAAAAGTCATTTTCCAAAAAAGCAAAAACGCTTAACGCACAGCCAAGTTTAATGAGGTCTAGACTTCAAATTTTGTTGGGAGCAAAATACTCATATAT